TTTAAATTTTATAATAACTAATATAAATTATATTGCATAAATCTATTAATAATATAATCTTTCTTATTTTTATATGGTATTAAAATAATATAAATTTGTATATATTCTATTTTTTATTAGTTTTTCATTGCACAAACTAATTACACAGATTGAATTTTAAACTATTTTATTTTATTATTTTTAATTAATTTAAAAGTAGTTTGAAAATTTAAATTTAGTTTAAAATCAGATTTAAATTTGATTTTTGTTGAAACTAGTTTTAAATTTAGTTTTAAATTAAATTTTAAATTAAATTTATAAGGTAAAATTGATTTTCAATATATTTGTGAATTTATTTTTTTAGATAAAACTAATTTATATTGTATTAAATCAGTGCATTTTAAAAAAATTTAGTGATATTTATTAATTATATTATATTTTATAAAAAATTATAAAATATTTGTTATCATTTTTAATTTATTTTTCATAAATGAAGTTGATGATGAAAGTTTAAATTAAAATCTATAAAAATAAAATAATATATATATATATATATTATTTTTATTTAAATCATATGTATCTTTCACTAAAATCATGTTAAGATGTCATATTATATTTATTGAGATTCAAATTTAATATTATAAAATATAAAAATATTTAATATTTCAATTAGTAAGGAAAAATATAAAAAAGACAAAAATCTAAAATTATTTATTATAATAATTTAAATATTATTTTAATCTTTGTAAAATTTCTTATTTTTATTTATTGTTGATATAAAAATTGTAAATAAAAATTAAAAAGATTATTTTTAAAATAATCATTCTTATTAATTTTTACATTTATATTATTATCTCATATTCTAAAAAATTCATATATATATATATATATATATATATATATATATATATATATGTTTCTGTTAAACAAACATTAGTCTTCAGGTCTTTGCTCCGAAACGATGACGTATCTCTAGTAGTCGCTGATGTGGGGAAGATACCTATAAAAGGCACTCCAATGCTGAAGTCAAGATTCAAGTCTAAGTAATAAACGGTATTTAATAATGAAAAGTCAACCCTTTACCTGTACTTTTACCTTCCTTATACAGGAACTGTAATGGGCTAATGGGCCTGCTAAGCCAGTCTTGATCTTTGGCCTTTTAATTAAAACAAATAATATCTTGATTATTACCTTAAATTGGGTTTAATTACCTCTTAATCCTGACGAAGGGTATTCGGCCAAAATAGGCCGAATAGGTACTCGGTTTCCTTTTATTACAAGTAGGACCGAGTTGGTCCCTATCCAGTACACTAGCCCCCCAAGCCCGAAGAGGTACGAAGCAAGGGCTTTAAATAATTAGAAGTGGCCGGCAGTTGATTAGGGTGAATTTGAACAAGACCGAGGAGGGTACTCGGTACTGAATGGACGAGTGGTGGTAGCATTTACATGACTGATGTGCATTGTGTATACCGAAGGGTATTCGGTTTAGATAAGTGAAAAAGATATCGAGGGGGTATTCGGCTTTAGATGTGAAATCTTGTTTTGATGTTCTTTAAAGGAGTACTCGGTTTTTTAGAAACTTAGTGTAGAAAATATTGAAGTAAAGGGTAAATAATAAATAATAAAAAAGATTATTCTAGAATCTTTAGTGTTTTTAGAGTTTCCTCGATCTGTGTGCGCGAAACGAAAGGGTGTTCGATCTTAATCATCCATTCTTGAAGAGATCTGTTGGTTTGGAAGAGGGGTGTCCCTTCGAGGGCCCAAGGCCCTATAAATAGATGGTGGTCCAGGTCTTTTGTTCTCCACTTTATCTCTAAACCGAGAAGTAAATACTACTGCTCCAAACCGAAGGGTGTACAAATTCTCTTTTTTTCTAAACCGACTACTTGTGAGGTACGTTTAGTTTTTTCTCTACCTTCCTTATTTTATCATGGCCGAATCCTTGGAATGGGAGGACTCATTGTCGGACTCCTCTAGACCGACTAGTGTCAATATTCAAAATCCTGAGAGAACCGAAGAGGGGTGAAATTTGCCTCAAGACCGAGTGGGGAAGAGGTAGAAGTTCGTTATAGGGAATGCAATGACGAAGCTGAGTCGTCTGAATCCACTGATTTCGACTCTTCTGAACCACTACCGAGTATGAGCCCCCTAGGGAAAGACCCGTATTTCCTCCCTGCATAATTCCTGGATACGAATGGGTACACGATGAAGTAGCCGCCTACTTCTCTCGTTTTAAAAGAAATAAGATTCTTCAATCTTTTGTTGACCATATTGATATTACATTATGGGAATCTTCCGATCCCTACCCTGTATCCATTGAACCTTGTCGGGTATATGAGACCGAAGACCTTGAATTTGTTTCTCTAAGGGGTGCTGGGATGGCCGACACCTTCTTTGTGTATGAGTATATGTTTAGAGAATTAGGTATAAAATTACCGTTTGACGACTTCCAAATGGGAGTGTTAAGAGTTTTAAATGTAGCGCCGACGCAACTCCATCCAAACGGGTGGGCGGCTATTCAAGCTTTTAGAGTACTTTGTAAATTTCATTATATAGAACCTAGTGTAGGCTTATTTCTTTATTTTTTTTGTACTCGTCCATCCGATTTGGCAAGGTGGATATCTTTAATAAGGCAACCAGAATTGCCATTGTTTAAGCCTTATGCTTCATCTTTCAAGGGTTTTAAAACTGGTTACTTTAAGGTAACCGTCCACCCTGTAGGTAGAAATTTTTTCTTTGATAGTGAAAATAACCCCCTTTTTCTCTTCCACTGGACCCGAGTGCCTCGCCGATATGACTTGATTCCTGAGGACAGGTTGTCGGCTAGGGAGTTGTCGGCTTTGGATTATTTGAAGTCTCTTTCCCAAGAGCTTCCTGCTTGATACATACTATTAGTATTAAAATCCCCTCAACCTCGTCTAGACATGGATGGTATGTTCTGTCCTTATGGTTTCATTTTTTATTTAAGTTGTATTGATTTGACTGTTTACTTCTATTGTAGGTATAATGGCTCAACGCGGTGTTCACATACCGACATATCGTAAAACTCTGAAGACCAAAGCACCTGAAAACACACCTATTGAGGAGCACCAAAACCCTCAGCTGGATCATATTCCTGAGGTGACCAAGCCCCGACCTCCTCCCCGAGACCTTGTCATTGCAGAAAAGTAGCTGAAAAGGCGCAAAGACAAAGGCAAGGAGAAAGAAAAGGGGAAAGAAGTAGAGAGAGAGAAGAAAAGGAAGTACAGTCATTCGGTTCGACAGAATATTGAAGAAGGATCGCGCAGGCAAGATCAAAGTGCTGTAATGGCTATGGCCGGCAGTTCCTCAAATTCTGCGATTCCTCCAGTCGTTTTATCCGACTCCTTCCTGAATCCTGGGGTGCATGCCGGCTGGTTAACTGCGCCAGACCTACTTTCTGACTTGGGAAAAGATGTGGTCAACAACTTAGATCTAGAAGCATTGTGGCAGTGCTATGCGGAGATGCAAGTGTGATATGCCACCATGCTTCGAAGATTAGATGTGGATCCTATACTTGAGTTAAAAAATGTCGAGAAGGCATACTCGGGTTCACAACAATCTCTGGCGGAGAGCAGAGAGACTCATTCAAGCCTTACCGAGACTATGCAGTCATTGGAAGCCGAGGTTACTCAGTATAATGAGCATTATCACATAGTCGAGAGTCGGCTTCGGTCAATCGAGCAAGCTTTAAGAGCTAAACAAGAAGAAATGGACGAGGCGTTGAGGGTTAAATCATCGGAGATGGAGGCGGCTCTGGAGGCGAAGTCTTTGGAGATAAAGACTTTGAAAGCTAGATTTGCTGAAATGGAGGAGGCCTTGGCCCTTGAAAGGCAGAAAGCGGAGGCGGATCTGAGAGCCTTTGCCGACAAGTGTTCTAAACAAGTTGCCTTTGAACATGAGTTGGGCTTTAACAAGGCTGTCCGCCAATGCTATGGATTTTGCCAAGTGCCTCCCAACTTTCATTTCGATTTGACGAAGGACTTCTTCGGTAGCATGTTCCTTTCGTATGATGAGGTTGATGAAGATATGGAACCTGATGCCGAAGCCCCTATACGAAATGAAGCTAATGATAATGCTCTCGGTCCTGAAGCCCCTGGTTCTGAAGTTGCAGGTCCTGACGCCCCTGATCTCAATGGTGAAGAGGGAAATTAAGAAGGGATTTTTGTTTTTTCTTCTATATTCATGGACCGAAAGTGCCCAAATTTTGTAATCCTGTTTCAACGAAATACAAGTTTAATTTCTTGTTTTATTCCAAATTCTCTTTAAAACAACTAAGCCGAAGACTTCATTCAATGTTTCGTTTCTTAGTCGAGTAAGGGTACATGTGACTGTAATGGTGAATTCGTTTTTCACATAGGTATTTACAATAATTAATTAATTCATCCTTAGCCGAGTGAGATTACTCGTGAGGGCATTTAAATAATGATTCATTCTTGGCTGAGGAAGGCAGCTTGGGAGGGAGAGTAAATAATGGTTCATCCTTGGCCGAGTAGGGGTACTCGGGAGGGAATTTAAATAATGATTCATCCTTGGCCGAGTAGGGGTACTCAGGAGGGAAATTAAATAATTCAACCTTAGCCAAGTGACACTAGGGAGGGAATTTTAATAACGATTCATCCTTGGCCGAGTAGGAGTACTCAGGAGGGAATTTTAATAATGATTCAAAAGGTTTGCTTGAAAGAAATCCACAACTAAGAAGTGAGTAGTAGTATTTTATTGATAAGATGCGTCGTTAAAAACCTTCCTAGGAAAACTCCTTTTCACATTCTTTTAACAGGACAAAACTTGGGCGAGGAAAAGAGTACATCGAATACAAATTACAAGTTTTTAACTAAAGTAATGCTTCAAATGTGTAACATTCTAAGTTCTTGGTATAAGCTTTCCTTCTAATGTTTCTAACTTGTATGCTCCATTGTTTAATCTTGCCATTACCCGAAAGGGGCCTTCCCAGTTAGCCGCTTTCCCTCTCGCCGATCTCTTCGTGCATCTCCTGTTACTCGTCATACCAAGTCATTTTCATAAAATTGTCGTAGATTGATTTTGGTATTAAAATTTCTACCCATCATTCTTCTGCTGGCCTCGGTCATAATGGCTGCTTGGCCACGCACCTCAGCTATTAAGTCCAGGTTGATGGCCAAAGCCTCGTTATTAGCTGATTCCTCGAAATTCTCCTTTCGAAATGAAGGTTCTCCAATTTCTACCGGCACCATGGCATCATTACCATAGGTAAGCCGAAAAGGAGTTTCGTTTGTTGTGGTTTGTGGCGTACACCGATAAGCCCATAGCACCTCGGGCAGCTTCTCTGCCCACTCCTCTTTTGCCGAACCTAATCTTCTTTTTAATTCATGCAAGATCACTTTGTTTACGGCCTCAGCTGGACCATTAGTCTGAGGGTGTTCCACAGACGTAACCTTGTGCTTGATATGAAGCCCTTCCAAAATTTTATTCATTAGCCTCTGGTAGGTTGCCCCAGCATTCTTCAAACCGAAGGGCATTACTCAGTAACAAAAGTTAGCGGAATCAGTGATGAATGCAGTTTTTTCCTCATCTGGCGGATACATTCGGATTTGATTATACCCAGAGTAGGCATCTAGGAAACTGAACATTCTGTGTCCTGCTGCGCTGTCTACTAGGGCATCAATGCTAGGGAGTGGGTAAGCATCTTTTGGGCATGCTTTGTTTAAATCTGTGTAGTCGGTACACATTCGCCATTTGCCATTTTCTTTTTTGACCATGACTACATTGGCCAACTAGGTAGAGTACCTAATCTCTCAGATAAAACCGGCTCGTATTAATTTAGCAGTCTTCGCTTTTACTGCTTTTGCTCTGTCGCCTCCCACTTTCCTTTTCTTTTGGGCTATTGGTCTTGCTACTTTATAAACTGAGAGGTGATGACAAAGAAAAACTGGATCGATGCCAGGCATGTCTGAAGCAAACTAGGCAAATAGATCAGCATTTTGTAACAATGTCTTCTGGAGCTCCTGTTTTTCTTGGCCAGATAGGCTGACTCCCAAGTAAGTAACCTGTTTAGGCTTCGGTCCCAGCTGAAAAGGTTGCTTATTTTCATTGGGCTCAACCCGACACCATTCATCAGTCCTAGGATCAAGTTCAATATCTACGTCCTCCTCCGACGTAGGGGTCACAATGTTGACATCTCATTTATATTCTTAGAGTGGTCTGATGCGTAAACTTGCAAAATAGCACTCCCTCGCTGTCTTCTGATCAGCATGAACTGTGACTATTCATCCCCTTTCTGATGGAAATTTCATAGCCAAATGTGGAGTAGATACTATAGCTTTAAGTTTGTTAAGGGATGGTCTGCCGAGTAATATGTTGTACGAGGTGTTCGCGTGAACTACCAAGTATGTGACCTTGATGCATTTTCCTTCATGCTTTAATCCAAATGAGGTGTAAAGATCAATACACCCCCGAGTCTCCACCCGTTCCCCTGAGAGACCAACTAGGGGTTCACAATATTCTTTGAGTTCCTCTTCTGGTATTCCCAGTTGTTTAAAAGTATTCCAGTAGAGGATGTCAGCAGAACTTCCCTGATTGATGAGTGCTTTTCGGACAGTGCAGTTGAGAATGTCTACACTTATCACCGTGGGGTCGTCTTGTATAGGATCCACTCCTTGGAAGTCTTCATCAGTAAACGTAATAGGGGGAATCCGAATCCTGCTACCGAGTGTGATATTGTTGACTGATCTGACTTGCCTCAAATATCTTTTTCTGGCCAAATGGGTAGGTCCGCCACCGGTAAACCCTCCAGCTATGGTATTAATGACCCTTTTAGGGTACCTCTCACGCTCATGGTACCGTTCAGTTGGGAGTTCCCTGGACCTATTCCTCTGTCGTTCAGGTCTCTTGTCATCGTATCTCCTTGATGGCTCAGGGTAACGGTATCTTCCTCTATTGGATTGACCGACGGGATTTGTCTGCACAAAATCTTTTAAATGTCCTTCCTTTATTAATTCCTCGATTTTATCTTTCAGCGCGGTGTACTCTTCAGTGGTATGACCCTTGTTCTGATGGTATCGGCAAGCCTTGCTTTTATCTACCCGAGGAGAGGTGTTGGCGCGTCTAGGCATTCTCAGTATTTCTGTAGCCAATCCTTGATCTAGTACTCTAGACCGATTAGTGTTGAGCATAGTGTAGGAAGGATATTTGGGTCCCCTGGGCAGCCTTTCAGGTTCATTTCTTCTCTCCTTATTTTCTTGCCTAGACTTGAAAGTTTCTCTCCTATCTGTATTTTTTGAATTGGACCCCTGGTCCATCTGCACCTAGTTTCGGTATTCAAACAACTCTTTCATCTGCATATACTTTGCAGCCCGACTTCTTAACTCATCTAGGTCGACAGGTGGTTTTTTGCAGATGCTATTAACAAAAGGTCCTGGCTTTAGGGTCGTTGTGAGGTGGTGCATAGCCACTGCTGGTTCCAAATTATGGATTGAAAGGGTCACTTTGTCAAAGCGTTCCATAAACGCTCTAAGTGACTCCCTTTTCTTGGCGAATATTAACCAGCGCCAAGGATGTTAAGGAATACGGTCGGCTTATGGCGAACTGTAAATTGAACCGTCTTGCAAGAGTAGCAAATGAGTCGATGGATGAAGGGGAGAGTCGGGTGAACCAACTGAGTGCAAGCCCTCGGAGTGAGGTAGGAAAAATCCTACACCATAAAGAATCATTCTCGGTGTACAGATCGACTTGGGTTGTAAAGACATCCAAATATTCCCCCGGATCAGATGCGCCATCATATTTATCTATTGTTAATCTTCTCCAATTATCGGGCAGCTTAGCCTCCAGGATATGGTGAGCGAAGGGGCTTCGGCTCACGAGATTGTCTCGGTCATTTTTGGCCTCAGATTGATAAACCTGGTTTGATTTCTCTTGCAACGCCGAGGATTTCCCATGATCCTGGATGATGGGTGTAGTTTGGGAAGGGATGTGTGTTCTTATCTCTTCTCTCAAGTTAGCATTTTCCCTTCGCAGAGCCGAGAGCTCTAGTGCATCCTTCTCTCTCTCCTTCTTCATCTCCGTCATTTCTACTTTAAGCTGCCTTAGTATAGCTAAAATGCTCTCGTCGGTTCTCCCTTGCATCACTACTTCAGGTGTTGGTTCGTCTGGTGTGACACCCTTTAGTTGTTGACGAGAGATTCCTCCCTGTTGAACATGTCCTTCCTGCTGGCTTCTCGTTAGTACCATGATTAATCTGAAAAACGAGGCTAATCGTGCCCCACGGTGGGCGCCAAAATATTCCTGTTAAAGAAACACTAGTCTTCAGGTCCTTGCTCTGAAACGATGACGTATCTCTGGTAGTCGCTGACGTGGGGAGGATACCTACAAAAGGCACTCCGATATTGAAGTCAGGATTCGGGTCTGAGTAATAAACAATATTTAATAATGAAAAGTCAACCATTTACCTATACTTTTACCTTCCTTATATAGGCACTGTAATGGGCTAATAGGCCTAATGGGCCTGCTAAGTCAGTCTTGATCTTTGGCCTTTTAATTAAAACAAATAATATCTTGATTATTACTCTAAATTGGGTTTAATTACCTCTTAATCCTGACGAAGGGTATTCGGCCAAATTAGGCTGAATAGGTACTTCGGTTTCCTTTTACTACAAGTAAGACCGAGTTGGTCCCTATCCAGTACAATATATATTATTACATAAATTATGTGTTGAGAATAAAATAAAAATTAATTTAATTTAATTTAAATTGGCCACTATAGTATGAGGCTAGCCACAAAACTCCGGAAATCAGATAATGCATTTATAATTTTGCTGAAATTTTGATCTACACAAATGATGGAATTGAGACATGTTGCAAAGACTACACAGAGGATGGACTAAAACCAATTTTGAGAAAAATAAAGTTAATTTTGTCTACCTCTAATTATTTTATAATCCACGTAAAAAGTAATTTTTTTTAGATCATTTACTTAACTGATTTAAAATGTCTTGACTTAGTATATCTATTATATCTAAAGCGATTTTTTATTAAATGTAAAAAGTTTTTATAAGTTTTAATATATTTTAATTAATGGCCGATTATTAAAAAATATATATTAAAAAGTGTGTTATGAGAAAGTTTTTAATATAAATTTTATTAAATAAATCATTTAGTGATAAATGGTAAATAAATAAGCTTGTTTTGAACAACAAAGAACCGTAAAGATGCTTAGTTTAAGGAGACAGCTTAAAAAAAACATTGGGATGCTGAGTTTAAGGAAGAATTTTAATTGTTTTTTAAGACTCTTACCTTTAAGCATAATTTGAACAATAAATTAAAAAGGCTCAAATAGTAGCTGATCCAACCGGAGTTTTTTATTTATAACAGACTAAATTTATTTTCCTTGTTGATGGGTGAATATATATTAAACTAACGATTTTTTTAAGATGTATAATAAAGAATGAATAAAAAATATATTCTTATTAAAAATTATAAATACATAAAATTTTGTGTTATAGCACGTGCATTAGAAAAATGGTTACACTGAAAGGCACTGGTAACGAATTTCACGCTAATGAAGCAAAGAAGGAATCATATTATTGTAATGGTAACAGGTGAGTGCGTAACGAGTGGGGCTACCACTACTGTTCACGTTGAAAGCATATGGAAATGCAGAGCTTTTAAGTCACATAGGCCATCCTATCCTACATAGCTAAGGAATAACAGTGTGGGCCTAACATAACCTCATTCCTTCCAAGATAAACTTATTTCATTTTGAAAAACTAAAATATGCACATGCCATTATGAATTCAATTCATGGCACCTACCCTACTCTATACTTATACTTTTTATTTCCATGTTATTTTATAATCAAAGCTATTCTTTAAAATTAATTTTTCAAAACCCATTTTTTATTGGTTTTGTGGTGATCGAATGATATTGTTTTATAATCTGACGCTCTATAATGCGTTAGAACTCCACACATACATGGATGGAATGGCAACCATGCATGCATGTGCACACAACTCAAATCGCAAAGATAATCAACTATTAAATTTAAAGGTTCAAATTATTCGTTTTACGTTCATATAAATAATTTAACAAGCTAGATATTTTCTATCACTATTAAACTTCAAAAAGTTTATGAAAACTTAAAAACCTTTCTCAAATATGTTATAAATTTCAGCGTCCTTATAAAAAATTTTAAATACTATTTTAGTCCCTCTAACCTAAATTTTTAATTTAGTTCCCATAAAAAAAGTTTGTAGATGAATTCTTAGATGAAAAACATTTTTAAAATAGTTTTTTACGTTAATGTCGGATACAGAATTGTTTATATATATATATATATATATATATATATATATATATTTTGTAGTCTTTATATATAATAAAATTTTCATTTTAACTTTTATAGGAAAAAATTAATTATGAAAGTAATAAAATGTATTTCATAAAACTAAACAAAATTCACCATCAAACAAAAATTGAAAAATGTTGTGGTGATTTATGATGACTATAAAATTATTTTAATAATTTAATGTAGTTAAGAAGATTATTATGAGAAGATAATGTTTGAGATTTAGGTAAAAATTATTTTCTTTTATTCATTATAAAATATTACAAGAAAACAATGTAAACTGATTTTCAAATGTTAAGTCATTTTTCTTATTTAAGAAAATAGTGCCAATCTCTTGTTTAATTTTGTTCATTTATTTTAAAAACTAAAATTTATACTTAAATTTACTCATATTTTTAAGTATAATTATAATGAATTACTTGTTTTATAAACAGAACTTAAATGTTATCATTTAACTAAAAATTTACTTTAATAATAACCAATATAATATAAGTTGGTATTGAATCTTAGAGATAAATTTTTAATTTTAATTGAAGAAAAATACTAAAAGTATTTAAAGTATTATATGTAAGTTTTATCTTCAAACAATCTCATCAACAGTATTACAACAAAATACTTTGACTAAACTTTTAAAAATCTAACAGTAAATTACCTATTTTAACTGACTACGGATTATTAACTTTTTCAATTTGTTTTGAGGGTTTTATTTTGGACTCCATTAAATAATATTTTTTAGTTAATTTCATCTGCATAGCAAAATTTTTTTATTTTGATTCTTGTACTTTTATTTTTTATAAAGATTAAAATAAAAATGTATTATGTATAAAAATTATAATAAAAAATATTATATACAAGGATCAAAATAAGAACATTATATACAAGATAATGCTGTTATATGAACAATAATAATAGAAACTATTTGAAAATATTTTTTATTTAAAAACTTGTTTACAATTTTTTTTCAAAAATAAAATAAAAAATGAGTTTCGTTTAACGACTAAAATTGTATTTTTTAGACAAAATAATAAAAATTGGCACTTTTCATACTTGAAGTGACATTTCACACTAATTACTTGCTGACTCTTCCATTAAACGTATGTACGTTGGTTTTGAATCCGTAATGTACGGATTTTTAAATCATTAATATATTTGAAAAAATTGTCTAAAATATTATAAGATTATGATTTTTTAAAAATATTAAATGCACATAATGCTAATTACGTTAATTTATTATCAAATGATAATAATAATAATAATTTCAAAGTCACTAAAAACTTTTGATTAAAGTAAAATAATAAATATATAAAATAAGTGATGATAATTAATAATATATGATTTTAATCTAAAAATATAATAACACTCAGGTATTCTATGAAATAAATACAATACAAAAAATATTAAAATAATTTTAAAGATAATTGACATTAAATAAGTATTAAATATTTAGATCAAATAATTTCATGAAACATATAACAAATTTGATCGTATTAAATATTCATTGGGGGAATTTATCTTTCAGCAACAACTTCTGCACCAATAATATTAGCATTTGCAATTAATGTAATTCCATTGCAAAGACATATCTTACAAATTTCAGTATCGTACTCAAGATTCAAGAATAATCAGAAATGGCAATCACTTTGGTGACTTTGGTTTTAAAGTAGAGCTAATTACTCTTCACATTTTATTTTATTTTTTAAATTTGTAATACACTTTTTCTAAATACATTTATAGTAATTACTTTTTTGAAAGTTAAAATAATTTTTAAAAATAACATTTTAATATTTCTCATATAAAAAAATATGAAAAACAAAGCTGAAAATTATTATATATTTAACTAAGTGACACGCATCTAAATATTCTCATCAATCAAACAAAAATCAAAAGTGATAGAAGAATGTAAAAATAATAGTAACAACGCTCACGTGTCAAGTAAAATAAGCTCTAACTCTTGTAACA